TACGGAGGGACGAAGGAGCCTACGTCCCTGGAAGGGGGGGGGGCACAATACGGTCGGCTCTACAAGCACATGTGGACGCGGACGTCCACACTTGAGGGGGGGCCATGTGGCATATCCCCCTTCCGGAATTAGATTTAGATTAGATTTGCAGTTGTAGAGCCCGAGCTCTACAGTACCTCAGCCCGCGCGCACACGTGTACTACACGTGTACGGGCGCGCGCGCACACGTGTAGTGTCAGTCCCGACGGCTGACAGTATTACAGTGCAGGCCGACCTGCACTACGGTAGCCCACTACAGCACACCGGTACTGGTACATCGGTACTGTAGTGTTATGATAGATAATTGTGTACATTAAATATGAGCGGACCGCCGGCGGTGGAGGGGGGACAAGCACGGACTTGTCAAGGATCCTCCACCTTGGTCCGCCCGCTTACTTTTAGGTACTTCCGTCCGTTTTACCTAGGAGTAGCACCGCGCGCGGGTTGAGGACGCGCATAGCACGCCCACGAGCCGGCTCCGCCTCCGCCCGTCGGTACTGGAACGTCACCCAGTACCGCTCCGGGGCGTCGAGGCGTAGAACCGCTCGCGCGTGCGCGCGTCCTCCCCGATCCCGCTCTACCACCGCTACCTCGAGCCCGTGCTCGGTACCGTGGGTGGGCCGTGCTTCTGTCTTCCCGCCGATCGGGGTCTTTCCGAACTGTCAGTACTCACCCCCCTCGTCGTTGGGGGTGATTATACTACAGTGATAATGACGCTCGCTCACCTCGCCGGCTCGGGTCATCAGGGACACGACGCTATCGAGCGTCCAGGAGACCTGGGGAAGGCCGCGCTCGAGCGGGTGTGGTGGGACGGTCGGTAAATCGGGCCCTAGACGCGCCAGAAACGTCACGGTCTTGTCCGGCTGAAGGAAAACGCGACCATGTACGCACATCTCTGCCATGAAGGCGCTCCCGACGGACCAAGCCCTTTCTTTTTCGCAGCTGTCGAGTAGGGGAACGCGAGCGGGGTGACTCGGGTCGACCGCAGCGTACCCAAAGTGCTTCAGCACGTAGGGAAGAAGAGGGTGTATCCCTAAGGAAGGAAAGGTGTCACGAACCACGCGCGGAAGCGAGGGAAAGTCCCCCGGGGAAATGCCTTGCTCGAACACGGCAGACGCAAAGACGCGACCGTCTTCCTCCGAGGACCGCCTGTAGGCGGATCAGTCTCGATGGGCGACGGCGATGCCATGGAGCCGCATCAGTGTTGCGGCAGACTTCTGAAGAGCGACCCGGGGCTTTGTGTACGCGTACGGACGCGGATACACGTAAAGTCCCAGGATCTCCGCGAGGATAAAACGGGGCGGACAGTCCGAGTCGAACCCGGACAGGTAAGCTGCCATACGATCGACGTACACTACCTCCTCCATACCGAAAGCAAACGTGCGATCTCCTCGTATCCCGTCGGGGATTTGGTAAGCCACGCCGTCCCCTTCAGCAAGGAGACGGTTAAGGGCCAGCGTGGATTGATCAGCGAGGCCGTCCTCGCTGATCTTACGGATGCGGGACAAGTCAGGGCGTAAGGATGGGCTCGCCAAGATCTCGCCCACCGTCACGCCCACACGAGCGTGGCGCGCCCACGGATACCGGAGGTCACTGAGCGGCAGCGGAGAGGACCGCAAAAGAGGAACGCCGAACCAGCGCGTCGTGCTGGGAACATCACCCTCTGTCACCGTTAGGCTTGGCCCGTGAAGGGGAGAAACCACGGCTCCAGAAGGGACCCCAACGACGGGGTCAGCCGCCCCCTCAGCCACGGTGGGACGAGGGGCTTGCGACTCGCCCCCATGCGGTGCGTCGACAACGCGTGTAGGGGCGTCAGTCAATTCCACGGACAGCGTGGACTCCGTCGACGGGCGGGTCCTCTGAAAGCGGGATGTCGGCGCTGGCGTAGTGGCGCACGCGTCAGGAGGAGGCCCGTTCGACAACGGAAGCGACGATGCCTCCGTAGTGGCGACTCGAGCCGCCGCGGCAACGGCCGGCGGCGGCGGTCACGGCGGTTTCGGAACCGATGGCGGTGGCATGCCGAGACAGTGTCAGCCGGACCCAAATCTCGAGATTGTGCGAGAACGCCGAGAGCCCGCTCGATGGCAGGGCAAGACAGGATCCCACGGTCCACGAAGGAACGACACGGGGACACGCGACGACGGAGAGGAGAGACTGCCAACGGAAGGAATGTGAACGGAAAGGGGAAGCCACGACACTTAGATCGAAGGGGGAAGCACGAGCCGCCCTACAAGCACATGTGAACGCGGACGTTCACACTTGTGGGGGAGGCCGTGTAGCATAACCCCCCCTCTGGGGCTTTATTTTAGATTAGATCAACTCAGAATCGGATCGGGTACTGTAGGGCTCGATGCTCTACAGTACCACCACGTGTACCCCCAAGTACAGGGGGCGGACGTGTACACGTGTACGCGCCGGACCGAAGAGCGCGCACACACGTGTACTGTCAGCCCCGATGGCTGACAGTATTACAGTGTCGACCGACCGCTACAGTACGTCGCTACAGTACATCGGTACTGTACTATTATGATATGTTATTATGTACATTAAATATGGAGCGGACCAGCGGCGGGGAAAGGGGACAAGCACGCACTTGTCGACGACCGACCGCCGAGGGTCCACTCCCCGCTTATTCTAACCGCGCGCCTTCGCCTTCGCGCGCGTTAGACGACACCGAGCGCGGATAGAGGACGCGCGACGCACGCCCACGAGCCGGATCCACCTCCGCCCGTCGGTACTGGATTGTTACCCAGTACCGCACCGGGGCGTCGAGGCGTCGATCCACTCGCGCGTGCACGCGTCCCCGATCCCGGTCTACCACGCTACCGGGGCCCGTGCTCCGGTTCCGTAGTGGGTGTCCGTCTTCCCTTGTCGTCTTCCTCTCGAGGGTCTCTGCAAGAACTGAGTATACACTCCGCTCCGTTGGGGGTGTTTATACTACACCTCTCGCAGAAGCTCTGAAAAGAGTCTCAGTAATCATCTTTTGTTCGACCTTGCTCAACACAGATCGGCGTCCCGCCCTATTCTGACGAGGATTTAGCAGTCGAGCAAGACTATCATTGTCGTTGTTTTAGACGCACTGGATAGGTCTAGTCCCAGTAGACCGCGACACACCGGTCCTCGATAGGGAAAAAGCTTTCGTAGCTCCACTGGCAACGAGCTGGACAAATTCCTCTCGAGCCGCCTTGATGCATTCATCGCGAACATCTCTCCCTTTCGATGCCCTGGTCTCCGCCCTCATCGATCCTCGCATTTCTCTAAAGCGACTGTGAGGAGCTCTAAGGCCTTAGAGCTCTCCAAGCCCTGAGAGCTCATCATAGTCCCTCAAAGCAAATTTTGTTACGCTGAGTTGGGGTCTTCTCCGAAAACGCGCCCTTTTCCGGTGCTCAAAATGCATGTTTCGGCGGGAAAAGCCGGCATTGGC